AGAGAGAGAGAGAGTCATGTGAAAACGAGTACACCCCATGATTTAATAGCTTGTGGAATCAGCAGCTTTTATCAGCAACCTGAAGTAATCATTTTCCACATGAATTTATTGGTCTCTCACTTCGTTATAGAGGAAATTTGGCCCACTCCTCTTTGCAATGTTGCTACAGTTCATTAAGGTTTGTGAGCATTCATCCTAAGACACAGCATTTCAACCAGGTTGAGGTATGGATTTTGACCACACCATTGCAACACCTTGCTTCTTTTGTTTTTCGATCATTCTGTTGTAGATTTGCTGCTGTGTTTGAGATTATTGTCCTGTTACATGACCCAGTTTTAGCCAAGTTTTAGCTGTTGGACAGATGGTTTCATATTTGCCTCGAAAATACTTTGGTCCACAGAGGAGTTCATAGTCAATTCAATAACTGCAAGGTGCCCAGGTCTGCTGTAGGTAGCAAAACAAATGCAAGTCACCCCTCCACAACTATGCTTGACAGTTGGTATGACATGTTTGAGCTGATATGCTGTGTTTGGTTTTCACCAAACGTGGTGCTGTGCATTATAGGTAAACATCTCCACTGTGGTGTTTTTTGTTCTTCAAGGACATTGTTCCAGAAGTCTTACATTTTGTGTTGCCATGTTCTTTGTAGAGAGAAGAGGCTTTCTCCTGGCAACCCTTTCTATTGTACTGTCATAAACTTTGACATTTGACATGCTAACTGAGGCCTGTAGAGTCTGAGCTGCAGCTCTTGTTTTATTTTTGTATTTTTTGTCAGCTTCTCTGAACGTTCCAAGGCCTGTCCTTGGGGTGAATTTAATAGGACATCCATTCCTGCGAAGACTGTAGCATTGTGTTAACACACACCTGAATGAAGACCAGGAAACTGCTAAAACTTGTGCTGTTGTAAAGGTGGTCATACTTATATGATGCATTAATCAAATACATTTGATTAACAGGACCTGGCTCTTAGTGCATCGAATTGGATCAAAAGTCTGCTTATGTACGTTTGCAATTATTTATTCAACAAATGTGTCAGTTGATGTAATAGTCTTGTGGAAAAAGTAAGTACAATTCTAAAGCCATTTTGCACTTTTTTAAAGTAATTTTAAGCATAAATAACATAAAATTCTATTAATTTGAAGATGTTTGATGTTTTTCTTCTATGTGCTTCCTATTTCACTCCCAATCTTTCAACAGGATTCAAATCTGAGCTATGACTAAGCCATTCCATAACTACCCCTTTTTCTTTATTTGAGCCATTCCTTGGTGCATCTACTAGTGTGTATACTACTAGTGTGAAACTACAGACAGCCTTTCATTGTCTTTAGGCACTCTTCAATATAATGCAGAATTCATAGTGGGATGGATGACTGTAAAATCTGCAGTCAGGCAGCAAATTCCCTCTAAACACACAATTTGGTGATTCATTCACTGACAATACTGATATAAGGTTTTTTTGTTCCTGAAAACTTGATTCTGATCTGTGTCAAACATGCTTATTTATATTATTACAAAAAGAATAATATTTGATTTCTCTTTTTTCCTGAGCACATTGTTCCAAAAGGCCTGGTCTTTGCATATACACTAATCAGACAATAACATTGTGACATACTGACAGGTGAAGTGCATTAGTGGTTGGGCTATATTAGGGAGCAAATGAAAATGTTGTCCTCAAAGTTCAGAAGCAGGAAAAAATCAGCAAGCATAAGGATTTGACTGAGTTTGATATAGGACAAATTATGGTAATTGGGAAATAAATCATTTTTTTGTATACAGTGTTTCTACTCCAGCTGAGCTTTATACAACATGTCTCATTCCCCCATTCACACACAAGCACTTTACAAGCATGATGATCGATGTATCAGAGAGCAACTTGGGTTTCGTATCTTACTTAGTGGCTTCCGGTCGAGCAGACGCCAGCAGATAACAAAGCTAACTTCAGATCCTTTGATGAGATCTGCATCAAATGATCTGCTGATTGGTTGAATTCTCTGGGGAACAATTAATGGACAAATTAGTAGTCATTTAAAGTATATTATTACTTATGAGTAATTTAGCTTACAGTGGAATTATTTATTTCAGATTGTTTTGGAAATATTTTTACAATATTTCTTAGAGCTCTTAGAGAGCTTTTCAGATATTGATTCAACAACACAACACGCATGAAAAGTAAATGAACACTTAATAAGTAAATGATCTTATGTCACAGGTTTAAGTGAGACAATTTCAACCTGTCACTTCCTAAAGAGTTTGTAATTATCAGAGTATCCGGAACACCTGATTCCCATTTCATGGATTTGAAGGGTACATAAGTGATGTACTTACTTTTTTCAAGTTTTTTGATTTATTATTCTTATTTTTCTTTGTTTATTTTATTTAAATGAAATGGCTGAGAAAATGGCAATTAAATGCCTCAATTTTATTTTTTTTATTAGAATTATTATTAATCAGCGTCTCAAAAAGCAACAGTTTTTTGCTTGTTGAAAACTTTTTTAAAAAGTATAATGGGATATTGTTATTTTTCACATGATCATCTATAATAAATAACGTTTAGATAATTCAGATTTTTTTTTTTACTAGTGTTCAGTCAATAAGCACGTATCAGAGTCTGTTTGAATAAAAGTATGCTTTCAAAATCTGTTGGCACTAAAGGGAGCCTTCAAGTGGTTAAAAACTATATACACAGCAGAGTAAGGTATCATGAAACTCTCAAAGGTGAGGATCAGTGATATGTTTCTACATGTTTGTCCGTAGCTCATCACAAAGGCAGACCCAGGTTCCACCGAGACAGCTGAGTCCTTAACTAAGTCACAGCAGTCAGCCACTGCAGTCTAATTTAACAAGACATGTCTGTAATCCCTTGACCCTCAAATACTATCCAGGAGTCACGCACATACAAAGCTACCATGCCCTCCCCTCATTACAGTCATGTAAAGTTATACTGATAATGTATAGCAGTACACATGGCATGGCACGCAGTTGCACAAATGCACATTTACTGACATGCTCATGTCCATTAGATTGTATTCTCATTTTCCAAAAATTTTAACTATTTTGGATTTCCAATTTGAAAAAAATTACATTTCATGTTGTTGAAAATGTTGAGCAAATTTTATGACCAACCTGCCCAGCCACAGCAGTTTTAACCACTTTTATAATTGTGTTTGACTCACAATATTAGAACAAGTTATTGTTATTATTATTTTATTATTTTGCAAGTATGCTGTTATAAGCATTCACTGAGTATGTATGTGTTTCACTTATCTATAACCTCTTAAGAATTATGGGACACACTATGACTAATAAATATGTTTCCATCATGAGCTCAAAGGGACTTTGGGGCTAGTGAATGTGGAATATAATCGAGTGATATTGTGTTAGATAGAGACAGACTGGGGAGGGGCATCACAGAGAACGTAGCGTTAATGTATTTAAACCAATATAATGAATTTTTTTAATGTTAA